CACTGGACCCCTTGCTTTCTAAGCAATGTGGTCCTCCCTTCCCAGACTTCAGAGGGGATGCCCAGCATTACAGAGAAGCCAAGCCAGAACACTCCCTTCTCTCTGTTGACTGAGTTTTCTGTCCTACCAAGTCCCACAGCAGTTTAGCCCCAACAAAATCACACAGAGATCTACATTAACTATAAACTGATTGGCCTATTAGCTCAGGCTTCTTATTAACTCTTATAACTTATATTAGCCCATTATTCTTGTCTATGTTAACCACGTGGCTTGGTACCTTTTTTGGCGAGGCAGTCACATCTTGTTTGCTCTGTGGCTGGATTAGGACTTCAGACTAGGACTTCCTTCTTTCCAGAATTCTCTTATTCTCATTGACCGGCCTCTTCTTCCCGTCTGGTTGTCCCACCTATACTTCCTGCCTGGCTACTGGCCAATCGGCATTTATTTAAAATATAATTGACAGGGTCAGACCATTGTCCCACAGCATCTCTTCTATATTCCTTTAACATTGCTTTCTTTTTTTTTTTTTCTTTCTTTCTTTCTTTCTTTTTCAAAAGTTCTACCTCTCTCTGGCAATGAGCCCTAAGTATACAACATCTCTGGAATTCATGTTGAGGAATTATTTTCAGAACTTGTCTCCGCCTTTTTCTGTGAGATGCCCACGCCACTGTAGATACCTTGCACCAGTCAGACATGCTTAGGACATGCCTATCACTCCATAGTCTAGCATGATGGACATCAGCAAGAGCTCCTAGCAGCAGCACCCCTTCTCCTCCAAAGAAGACAAAAGACAGGTGGGCACAGACCAACATCCATCAGTAATTCGCTCGACCACGTGAAAGTGCTAACTATTATATGAAACTGCCTTTCATCTAAACCCCTGAAGATATCCAGACAGTGGACAGCATCACTGGAATCTACAGCCTAGCTGCTCAGGTCAAGTTAGGCTCGTCTTCCTACAGATTTCCTAACCCCCAGGATCTTTTGAAGCCTGGCAGGCCCTGAGCTAAACAACAGAAGACAAACAGTCCTGATGCCCTTGCCCTCGACGACCATAGAGGACTCTGAGGAGTGGCTCTAGGTAGCCAATCGAGTAAGTTCTCTGTAATTTTTTTAATCAATAACTCAAGTAAAAGTTTATCCTTCTCAAAGATCTCTGATGCAGTTTGACAACTGGTAGGTTTGGCCAGTTTAAAAGGACAACCTCGTCAAACAAATTTCAGCACAATTTCTTACCATGTTCTACATAAAGGGTGTTTTAAGACGTACAAACGCAAGTTACTAAGGTGTGGACCTGCAAGTTATAAAGGTCTGAGGGCAAACGCAAGTCATCAGATTTCTCTCTCACACTGCCGTTCATAGTCTTAACATTATCAATACCATGCTGATAAGCTATTGATCCCACTCTGGCACTACTCTACTGCAAGGTCAGGATTTCAAATTCTCTTCGGTCATTCTCTAGAGATCCTTTACATTGCATAAAACATCTGTCACAGTCATCCTGGTACAAATAGGCTGCTGTTTATAGAACGTATGTGTCTAAAACTTAGGTTTTTACAAACTCAAAAAATTCTTGTAAGTTCCAGGGAGCCGAATTGAAGGATTCATCTTAAACAGGTCAGACACACCCCTGTCAATTCCCTGGTCCTGAAAAAAAATTATTTTCTTCCTAAACTTAACTTTGTCCTCTGCTCTGCCAACACCCTGCCAGGTCCAAGGGATATCAGACAGTTCCACACCATAAATCCTGGACAGGAGTGAAGCAATCAGCTACCCCACGATGTGACCAGCACCCGGCGTGCGGTCTCAGGATGCAGGCTCTTTCTTGCTGTTCGTTACATTCATTATCAATATCACAAGAAAGATTTTGACACCCACATATAAGCAGGAAGCAGTCTTGAGAACCCACCAACCCAATCCCCTCAACCTGCCAAGCCTAACTCCCCACCTTTTTATTATAAGGAAAAGTCGGGAATGTTGCAATCTGCTGGCGAAGCCTGTCACCTGGGAGCCATGTCCCTTTGAGAGACAAGCCCCACCACACTTGATGTCTGCTTTTCTTTTTTTTTTTTTTTTTTCACACACTACACAAAAGGTGTAACTGACCAACAACCCACCATCTTGGCTCCTTGAGCCTGTGCCTGCAAATACAGCTCCTTCCTGCCCTGGCCTTGGGTCAGAGGACGCGATAGAGTTTTCTTTCCTGGGAGTAAAGGGATCACTGACAGTAACAAATTCCACAAAGAAGCCCATTTGAACCCTAAATTTCCTAAATTTTAAATCAACATTTCTTCTTTTAAAAGATTTTTAGATTATTTATAAAGCAATAAAAAAATAAATAAATAAAATTAATTAAATTAAAAGTTTCTAGCTTAAAAAAAAGATTTTTAGATTTATTCTTTGTATATGAGTTTTTTGCCCACATACCGAGGGTTAACAGCCAGAGGAACCTGGCTCCGCCCCCTGAGGATCTGACAGTGCTCTGCCTCCTGACTGCTTTGCCTGTCTCTTTAAAAAAATGAAACTCCACCTACTTCTCTCTCTTCTTCCTCTTCTCCCCCTCTCTGCATCTCTCTCAGTCTCTCCCTCTCCATTTCCTTTATCTCAATGAAACTCCTCACTCAAGCTTTGCCTGCATGATGTATTTGTCTCTGCCACGCTACTGCCATCCCCTAATTCCCCCCCCCCCCCCCCCCCCCCCCCCCCCCCCCCCCCC